TATTTATATTATTATTATTATTATTATTATTATTATTATTATTATTATTATTATTTGGTATTTATCGTTACTTGTTTTTAGAAGATATGAAGTTTGGAGAAAATTTTATAAAATGGTGAAATTGATTTATACCTCACAGATGGCACAAGTAATTGTTAATGGAGACTTAACCAACCACATGAGATACAAGAAGGAGCAAGACAACTTGCCCACTGTCCCCTCTTTTGTTTATTTTAGTTCTCGAAATATTGAACAGGGACATAAGATGAAAGGATTGTGGGCATAAAGATTTAAAAAGACTCATACAAGTTAAGAGTTTTTGCTGATGATCTTGGTTCTGGTTTTGGCAGACCTTTTAAATGGAATTGAACTTTTAATGAGTAAATTAAAATAATTTGGTACATTAGCAGTTTCAGGATTAATAAACAGAAGACCAAGATGTTAGCAAAAAATATGAAGATACAAGATCAAATAAAATTGATGAATAAAGTGGGTTTTAAGATTGAGAAGAAGGTATAATACTTGGGTATAACTATGACAAATATGAATTGCATGTTATTTCAAAATAATTATGTTAAGACATGGAATGAAGTCTTGGGTATAACTATGACAAATATGAATTGCATGTTATTTCAAAATAATTATGTTAAGACATGGAATGAAGTCTTGGGTATAACTATGACAAATATGAATTGCATGTTATTTCAAAATAATTATGTTAAGACATGGAATGAAGTTAAAAAAGATATGTCAAGATGGGATAAAGTGCATTTGTCACTGTTGAGTAGAATTTCTGTGATTAAGATGAATGTTTTACCTAGAATATTATTTTTGTTTCAGACAATACCAGTTTTGACAACTGATGTACCATTTAAACAATGGCAGAAAGATATATCTAAATTTGTATGGCGGGGGGGAAAAACTCAAGTTAAATATGAACTGCTACAAGACGCGAAGAGAAGATTGGGTCTACCAGATTTGAAATTATATTTTGCTGCTTATTGTTTAGCTTGGATGAAAGAGTGGATGCTGTTAAGAAATAGGTTATTGAAGGACATGATTTGAGATTTGGGTGGTATGGATATCTATGGTATGACAAAGATAAGATTAATGTAGATTTCAAAAATCATTATGTCAGGCGGGCTATTCATAGAATATGGAATAAATATAAATCTAGGTTGTGTCCGAAAACATTTCTTGTTTTCCTGCAGACATTTCATCATCTGACTAGGTAACATCTTCAGTGCTGAACTCATTCGTCAGCTCATCAGTGCTGAATAAGCAATGAAGACATTACCTAGTTGGGTAATGAAACGTCTGCAGGAAAACAACCAAGCTCAGAGAACCCCAAAGATTCCACAATTCAACTCTGAGTTACGTATATTCTCTTCCATTAATATCTACATTTATGGCTGACTGGAAACCCCTTATAGACTTTTTGCATGAAACGGAAAAAAATGCACTAATGACTTGTGGTTTTGATGATTAGAAAAAAAATTGGGCCATAGAAAAAAGTGAGTTTTGTAATCATAGAGTAAGAGATAACCTTCTAATCATACTTCTATTTGCTGCAAAGGAAATCAGAAGCTTCTATTTTTTATTATCTTTTTGCACTTTTGCTTTTTCTTCTTTCTCTTCTTTATTCTGTATTA